AGTACAGCAACCTACCTCGCAGAGATTGCCGAGGGATACGCTAATAAATATGAACAGGCAGCGATCTGCAAGGTAGCTAATAATATTATGTTAACTAGCAGAAAATCATGGGGCTACAAGGGACTGTGGAGGGCCCCTGAGTCCTTTCATATGGGCACACAATTAAATCATTGCAGAAGGATTAGGTTCTAATCTTTGTAAAGGGGACCCACAGAAAGGCATTCCCCAAAAACTCCCTTTGGTCACAGGATTCGTCCTTTAGTTCACAACATTCCGAGCCTGCCTCCTCCTCCTCCTCCACTGGTCGGCCTCGTCCCTCCTCCCACTGTGTGGGAAGGACTCACTTGCCCTTGGTGACGGCACCTCATCAGAGATAATGTCGAGGTCCACCATGGTTATGAGAACCATGTGGAGACAGGCCGGTTGAGGATTTCACTGGATTCAAATCCTTGCTGGCTCCCTGAAGTGGAGCAAAGGATTGCTCCCACCTCAATTTCCTCTCCCATAAAACAGTAGTGGCTCTGACCACCCAGGAAGGCCTCTTGGAGCTAGGTGAGAGAAACAAGGAAGGCACTTCTCACAGTGCCCGGCTCATGGTACGTCCCAGAGAGAGAACACAAAAGAGGGGGGCAAACAACAGAAACCGTGGGGGAAAGGAGACAGCGATCAGTATAAGATACGAAAAGAATAATAATTTATCAAGGGGTCACGAGGGCGGGGAGGGGAAGAGGAGCTGATACCAAGGGCTCAAATAGAAAGTAAATGTCTAGAAAATAATGATGGCAACATAGGTATGAATATGCTTGATAGAACTGATGTATGGATTGTTATAAGAGCTATAAGAACCCCCAATAAAATGATCTTTTAATTAAAAAAATAGAAGAAGAAGAAAGAAATGAGAGAGACAGTGAACAGATTTCAGGTAGTCATTTGACTTGCTGGACTAATCCCTGAACATGTATCAGATTCTTTAAGCATGTGATTAAATAAAAATATCTATTTATGCCATAAAAAAGAGACCACGAAAGTTTGTATCGATAACATTTTGGATATTATTAATGAATTTTCTATTGGCAAATCTGCCTATTTGCCAACGCTGATTTGTCACCTCCTTATCACTAATTTGTCACCTCCTCATCAATCCTGGCAGTGTTTTCATGGTTAGTGGCTAACAGAATCCAGGATGGCAAAGAATATGAGTTTCTTGACAAGGATGCTTTCAGTGGAGGTTGAATAGACTGGGTGGTTATTTGCTAATCCAGTGCTCCTGGTGACTGACAAAGGAGCCTTGAGGGGCCAAGGGGCAGACAAAGGAGTCCTGGGAGGCAGGGGGAAGATAAAGAAGTCCTGGGGGGCAGGGGGAAGACAAAGGAGTCCTGGGGGGCAGGAGGCAGACAAAGGAGTCCTGGGGGGCAGGGGGCAGGCACTGGCTGCCAAATGACAGGTGTTTGGAGCCCACCAGGTGCTTCCTGGCAGAATCAGATGGCCACAGGCTTCTGGAAGGAGTTACAGCCTTGGAAACCTGATGGGGCAGTTCTACTCTGTGCTATAGGATCACTACGAGTCAGATGAAACCTAACGAAAAAAACCCACTCTCTTTCCACCCCATTTTCCCGTGAACTTTTCATATCCCTTTGCACCTCTGGAAATAGATACAAGGTTATATACCACTATGCAGACTAGCTTTAGAGATCCCCTCAAAATGGAAAATCACTCCATCATACCAATGGCTAAAGAAAGAAAGAAAATGTTGGTGCCACTGTTTGCTCCTTAAGCCTCGAGTGTTTGTTTTGAGCTGGGGGTGGGGGTGCATACTGTAATTATTTAAGGGCTTTGGGGAGTGGAAGGTAGCAGAAGTGCCCCGAGGAGAACGCTTGTCTGGCAACCCCAAATCCACTGAAGAGATCTGAGGAGGAAAGATGCAGGAGACAGCAATATCTCCCCACTCTCCACCCAGAGGCTGAGGGCCCCGCAAGCAAGGAGCAGAGCACCCTGGGAGGCAGGGCCAAGAGCTTGGGAAGGCATCGGAACCCCAATATCAGGGAAGAAGTCCATGCCCATGAGTGGTTAATGACAACAACACACACACAAAAACAAAGCCACGGAACGTGAAGGGACCACAGAGTTCGGTTCGTGTGCCTATGGGCTGGGCGCTAGCCAGGCTGACTGGAGTAGTGAACTTTCTGCCCATTTCTAGGTACGAGGTCTGATACTTCTAAGGAGGAAGAGATCCCTGAGGACACGGACTGAGATGTATGCCCCTGGTGAACGGGGCTTTCAAACATGCCAAGCCCTGTAAGTCCAAACCGACCTGACAGCAATGAACTTCGTATTGGTTTGGTAAGCTCCGTCAGCCTGTGTGAAATGTAGTTATGCCCATTTGCTGCAGTGGGTGAAAAAACTCAACCGGTGTCTAGCCTGGGGTCTCTGGATCCCAGTTCTGCATACTTGCCACTGTGCCGTGTTACTCTTTGTATCTGGAAATTCTAGCCTGTTCCTGGAATCCATTATTTCCAAGTGATATATTTCCAGTATAAAACTGAAGTGTGTAGGATACAAAATTAAACTGCAATGTGACTACAATTACGCTGAAAAATAAAGAACCAAATCGATATACCGAAAAAAAGACTCAAATATGCTGCAAAATTTCAAAGGACAATTGGATTTAAGTGAAGGATGCTGGGCACACTTAGTATTCAACCATTTTCTACATCCAAAATTTACTTTAATGAAGCTATGTTTATTTACAGCTTAAGATGTTAAATCAATGAATGATTAAAAATACATATATGTGTGTTATATGCATATGCACACTCACACATACACAGATCTATGGACTGATTCTTGAGAGTCAATGTACACAACAGCGAGGCAGTTCCTGGAGGAGAAAAGGGAGCTCATCCCTACCTTTCCAGAGCTATGCCGGTCCCTTCCTCCCCTGCAGTACACAGAGATACATCTGGCAATGGAGTCAAACATTCAGGAGGCTGTCAATGCTCTGTAGATCATGTGCTAAGCCAACAGCAGGAACCACTTCTAAGTTTTGACAAAAGTCAGATCAGAAGCCTTCCTATTCAGAGCAACAAACTCAAAGAAATAATAGATGGACTTCTACAACAGGCTCTTGATCTTTCGTAGCAACCCACACTAATCTCTGGGGAGGAAATGCTGTCTAGAACTTGTGAGAGTGCGACACTTTGGGGAAGCTAGGGCGAGAGGGCCGAGTGCTCTCATATCCTCTATTAGTCATGATTCTGCTTGCTGAACATGAGGAGGACTTGAAGCACTTACTGATGACGATCAGAGATACCGCTTTCCAGATGCATTGCAACGGCACATAAAGAAAACAAAAATTCTCACAACATCCTGATGCACAGAAGATACATGTGCTGTTAAGGGTTTTGTTTCCCTTCCATTCCAAATTAACCACCCCAAAGCAGCAGGGAAGAAAGCAAACACTGCTCTGCAGGGGGCAGAGCTGCGGTCAGAGACTTCTTCAGAGCGACAGAGACAAGGATGCCACACCGAGCATGACCACGGTGCCCCTGACTCAAGTCAGAGTGTCCTTGGCTCCTCGTGTGCCTGCAAGAGGTGGTTGCTGACGAAGGAAGACCTACGGTCGGAGGCATCTGCATTATAGTGCGGGGAAGAATGTTGAATCTTCCATGGACTACCAGAAAAAGGAGCTAATTTGTCTTGTAAGAAATACAGTCAAGAATGCTTCTCAGAAGTGAAGCTGGCGAGACTTCATCTCACATCTGCAACAAGTGAACAGGAGGGCTCGGTCCTTGGAAAAGGACATCCTTCATGCTTGTGAAGTAGACGCTCCAAGAGCACAGGAAGCCGCTCAGTGTGACCGACTGGGACAGTGGCTGCAACAGCAGGCTCAAACGTAACACTGGTTCTGAGGATGGAGGGGCAGAGGAGTATTTCATATGGGGTAGGTGTGGCCTGCGCCCTGGGCGCTACTGAAAGGGGGCACCACCGAACCGCCGTCTTTGTTAACCATCACCGTTTCTATTGCCAAAGGAGCCCTGGTAGTGGGTTATGCTTTGGGATGCGAACTACAAAGTCAGCCGCAGCTCAGAGCCGCCACCCACTACATGAAAGATGAGGCGTTCTATTCCCATAAACAGCTACAGTCTTGTGGGTGAAGGGAGACAGCGGTCGGTGTAAGATATGAAAATAATAATAATTTATAATTTATCAAGGGTTCATGAGGGGGCAAGGGTGGGGGAGGGAGGGAAAAATTGCTGATACCAAGGGCCCAAGTAGAAAGAAAATGTTTTGAAAATGATGATGGCAACATAGGTACAAATGTACTTGATACAATTGATCTATGGATTGTTTTAAGAGTTTTAAGAGCCTCCAATAAAATGATTTAAAAAAAAAAAAAGGCTACAGTCTTGGAAACCCGCTGGGCAGCTCTGCCCTGTCCTGTAGGGCTGCTGTAGAATTGACTCAATGGCAGTAAGTGCGTTTCCTTGGCCGGTTTTAAAGGCCCTTTCGGCTTGTTCACTTTTTTTTGTTCTTGGGGGGCTTCGTTGGGCCAGGCAGACTGTGGAATCTTGCTTTGCTAAGTGGAGGAAGAAAAGAAGCCAGGAAAACAAAACAAAGATAACTCTGAGCACATCGTAGGCCCACTTTCATCAGTGAACCAAGGAAGGGACAGTTGCCATGACCGTGCAGTGTCACACGTGTTAAGGAGATGTTTGGTTTGCGATTTTGAGTTGATAGGATGCTAAAGTTATCTAAAAATTGGGTGTCAGATGTTCAGACAGGGGTTCAATTTCAGATGCTATCTTCCATAGAGAACCTCTAGGCACGGGGCTAGGCTGGGTTTCTTTCTATGGTACACAGGGGTTGCTATGAGTTAGAATGTCCTCAGAAGCCCCTAACAAGAACATTATTCACACAGTGGCCGAGGACATCCACAAGGGCCACTCTGTTGCATGTCTGCCTCCTGTGAGCTACCTGAAGTTTTCCCAAATCATTCTTACCTTCACACAAGCCCGTGTTCTCCAAGTAAAATTTGTCTCTACAGTGGGACAGGCATAGGCCATACGGGGCATTCCCTGCAGACAGTTGCTCAACTTGCAATCCATCTTCAGGCTTCCAACACCGGGAGCAGTGAGAGGGCTCGGGCCCCACGCAAGTCAGGCACGAGGAGTGGCACGCTGTGCATGGAACAAAATGCAGATGTTGGCTGAGGGGTTAAAGTTGTTGAATGCACAAGAGGACAACCTGACATGTAAGCCCCCAAATAATTCACAATAAAAGGTTGTTAAAAACACAAAAAAATCTATCTGAAGGAACATACGTGTGTTGCAACCAAGGACCCAAACCAACCCTAACCCACTGCGACTGAGTCCGTTCTTCCTCAAAGCAATGTTCTCCCGGGTTCCCAAGATTGCACACGTGGTGGGAACAGAGCCTCACCTTCCTCCCACAGAACGACTGGTGAGTCTGAACTGCCGATTTTGCTGTGACCAGCCCGGGGCCTGAGCCACAGCCCCACCAATTCAATGAAAACCCCTTAGAAAAGTTCACCAGAGTCATCCTTCCAAAAAATCCTTTTTTCTCATTCCTGTGCAGAACACGGAGTCAGTGGTAAGGACACCTGTGGGAGACGCACTGAGGGTGCTCACCAGTCACAGTGCAGGGACTTTACATGCTGTCAGGCTGGGTCATGAAAAACAGAAAGTCAACAACAACAAAAACCACAACAGCCAGCAGGACAAGACAGGCTCGGTCCTCCAGAGGAGCACACTCACTGCGTGGCACTGTGCCGCGATGCCCCTGTTTTCTCTGGTAAGGGGAGGAAGCATTCAGACAAAGGGCATGGCTCTATCTTTTACCCAAATGGCTGCTGTGTTATAGGCAACAAATTCCACTTAGAATTTAGGTGAAATGTGTTCTTGTGAGCCAGGCCCTCTATGAGCGCCGATAAGACTTTCACAATCCCTCACGGTCCCTTGTTTCATGGCGACTGTGAAAGTTAGATAAAATACAGGACCCAAACCATCTCGTAACCCAAACCAACCCAACTCACCACCACTGAGTTGAGTCTGACTCATAGTGACCTTGAAGACAGGGTGGGTAGAATTGCCCCTGTGGGTTCCCGAGACTGGGACTCTGTATGGGACAGGAAGCCTCTTCTTTCTCTTGAACAGCAGCTGGTGCTTTGCGGTTAGCAGCCTAATGCCTAACTGCTATCTCACACCCACTGTTTGCTACACGTTCCTTTACACATCTAATGCAGCTGCTCTGTTTGAAATACCTTTATTTTCCTCAACCAACCCACAAACTCTTTTCTAAGGTGACTGACAGATAAATTCAAAAACAAAAACAGTAATAACCTCACTTATAAAAAGGTTTGCTCCCCATGTTCTAGTTTCCAAGGGCGCCAAAGATCTATCTCTGTCCACCCGCCTGCCTGCCCGCCCCCCGCCGGAGCCCGAACCCTCCTGGGCACGCAGCTATGCACACTTCCATTTCACCCAGCCCACAGGCAGTGCTGGGGCCTCTGTTTGCTCGGGACCATTAGCAGCAAGAAGTTCTTCAGGGAGAAACCAAATGAAGGTGAAGAAGCAAGCACGCATTCGCCATGCTTGGAGGGAGGGAGGGAGAGAGAGTGTGTGTGCGTTGGTGTGGGAGGGTTTTACTGAAACAAAATTGCCTTTAAGTATAGTCAGAAAATCTGTGACCGTTTAGGGAGTTTTCGTAGATAGTCAAATGTGATTTTTTTTCAGAGATGCTTCTCAAAATTATTATAATGAAAAAAAAGAGAGTATTTCATATACAGTGAACCCTCGTTTATCGCGGTTAATCGGTTCTAGACCCTACCATGATAAATGAAATTCCGCGAAGTAGGATTCCTTATTTGTAAATCAAATATTTTCGTAGTTAGAGCATAGAGGACATGAAAAAACACCCTTTAGTCACCATTACACTCGTATCACCCAATTTATTAAACGAGAAAGGGAAAATACAGTAAAACATTTTGGACGTTACAATTATCATTTATTATTTATTATATTATTTATGGCTTCAAGCGTGTACAGTATGAGCCAATCAGTGGCAGTAATGACAGAGCATGCGCTGTTACGCAAAATCCGCGATAGAGTGAAGCCGCGGAAGTCGAAGCGCGAAGTGGCGAGGGTTCACTGTATTTCATATATAGGAAAGGGTTTCAAGAAGTTCATGGAAAAACAAAGTTCAAAGCTTACTGCCACATAAGACACACTGGAGGGAGAGCTGTACCAAAAGGAGAGTGATTGGAACCAAGGGACTGTCTTTGCGACAGAGAAGTCTGTTCAGAGCGGCAGCGACACTGACGGTACCTTTGCAGATCCCGTGATCGGGGTAGAAGCCCTCGCCACAGCTCGGCAGGCAGCGGCCTTGGCGCAGCACGTGGGGGTGGGCGCAGGCTGCACAGTCAGAGGCCGTGGGTCCAGAGCAGCTGGCACACGAGCTATGACAAACTGAGGGACAGAGTGACAGGGACACTCAATGGGCTAGGTGACTACAGTCCTAACTTCCCGGCAGGCATAGCGTATGTACTAGCTAGGAATCCCTCTTCACCAAATGCTGAACTCCCCTTTGGATGCAACACCAAAACGAGGGGGCGGGTGGCGGTGGGGTATCAGACATGTTTTTTGGTGTGTGTGCCAGAACTGCCACAAAGCCCCTTTTACTCATATCCACACCCTCTGTCCCCCCAGCCAATGTCTATATAGTCTTTATTCCAGTCCAGCTGCTGGACACAGTCCACTGTATCCAGCTCATGGCAGCTCCAGGTGTGTCAGAACAGAGCTGTGCTCCAAAGCTTTCTGTGGCTGATTTGTAAGAAGTAGGTCACCAAGCCTCACTTTCAAAGCACCCTTGGGAAGACTCGAACTGCCAGCCTTTTGGCACACTGCTGAGCACGTTCACTGTTTGCCCCACCCCTGGCCTAACTGACACTTTCTATAGCGCTCATATTCACTGTTTTGTGCACAGTAACACTGTCCTTCCCCATATGAACATGATGATGTGGTGGTGCTAGGGGTCGCTGCGTCGGTCCATTATGAGGAAGGTGTGATTAATCATAGTATACAGATGAGGAAATGGATGTCTTAAGAGATTTCAACATTTTCTGAAGATCATAGATAGAGCTCGTTATTTACAGCCATGGGATGTAGTCTTAGGACAGTCTAGAAAAACCCATGGTGTCTGAATAGGAAACTGTAGGCAGTTTCTGGGCCTGTCTGTTGAGAACACTGGAAATTCCGTCTGGCTCAATCCATCCAATGGTCTTTGCTGTGAGCCAAGTCTGGGTCTCTCCACGGTGTGTGCATGAGAGAGGTTGCACTAAGTGACGCTGACGAGACTTTTGGTTTTACCATTCTATGAGTTTAAGGGAGATTCACTTTAAAGAACCTCACCACCACATGTGACATTGGCAGGAGCCTCTGGGTCCTGCTTGGCCTCAGGTAGTGGCAAGGGGACACCGCTCACCCTAGGAGATGAGTGGAAGTTAGTCCTCGGGGCTGGATCAGGCCTTTGGCAGGGCGCTACAGAAGTGAGGCGAGGCCACTGGACAACAGCCCCCTGGGACTGGAAAGAGAGTGTGTGTGGCCAGAATGAGGGCCGGAGGAGGGGGTGCTGGGGAAAGAGGAAGAAGATGTGGGGGCAGGTACAAGGGTTGGAAGCCAAGGAGAGATTGATGATGAGACTTGGTGGGACAAGGTTAGATATTTTGTCACTAACTGCCACTCGGTAGAAATAAGAACCTGTATGGAGATTTCAGAGGCGGGGGACAATCAAGGCGTCTGCGGCAGCAGGAAGCTAGTTCTCAGAGGTCCCAGTGAGGAATATCACAAGTTAAACGTATAGAAATTGGACCCTCACAGTCTCAAATGTGAGTTTAAGTGTCAAGATTGTGCACACGGAAAAGAAATACTATATAAGTAGTACTTTTCTAAACTGCTAGTGACTGTAATTGCTAATTCTGCCAGCGAGCAAATTTGGTTCACCTTTTAGTGTGATGAGTTGTAGTTGCTAATACATGTCCACAGGGACAAATGAAGAGCATCAGCATGTTCCTGGCATTTCAGAAGAAGTAAC